AAGCCCGAGGCAGTTGGTTGTTGCTACGCGGCGACTATCGATCATTTAGGAGGCAGACGCCGCGACTCTTAGAGCGTCCGGGTGTTCGGCCACGAAATTCTCTCGCGTTCCGCGCCGCGGGTTCCTCGCCGATTCGCCAGCAGGTTCGCGAGCTTCACTTGCCGATTGGCCGGAACTTACATGTGGTACGCGATCGATACTAACGTTCAAAATAGAAATATATAGGATCATTTCGTTTATCCGATCAGGATAAACCGAATAATCGAATACCTATGTAGTTTTGATAACAGATATCTACGGTATTCTTATCGTTTTTTATTAATTTGGATAATTTTAATGTTTAATTTATTCCTTGAACTGGTTTTTCTTATTCGTTACAATTAGAATATAATATAATTGATTTATGATGCTTCTAAAGAAAAACACATAATTTTATTGATTATATTATTTTTACTAATATAGAATGATTTCATTTTGTTATGATGTTTATTAAGAATTAAATATTTTATTTTATGTTTTGGAAATAAAGTTATAACATATTTCAATAAATTAATTATAAAATATAAAGAATTCGTATAATTAAAGTATATTCGTTAAATAATAGAAGCTTAGTTATGAGTTCATAATTGAGAATGAGCATTGACTTACTATAAAAAATGTGCAAATAAACAAGATTTTACTGTATCATTTCTCCTATCCACAACTTAACATCAAGACTCGTGTATCGATCAATTCGCATGATGTTCATCGATCGATTGAAAATGGTGCCGGCAGCACTACACGATTAGCCGGAAATTCGAGGGGAAAAAAAGGAACCGGAAGCTAGTTTCTTCTCTTAATCTTCGCGCTCTCAAGTCTCTCCCCACCACTGTGCTTTGCTCGCGCGCATCATCCCTCTCCATGAATTTCTCCCCTGTCGTCTGACTACCGACTCATCGAGTTACTCGTTTCTCAGCTAGTCGGTCTAACTCTCTCGCCGCGGGGTTTACTTGCAACAAGCGTCTCTCTTCAATAACAGTCTCGCTCATTTGCAATTCGATTCTTTATCACCGTTAGTTTTCTTCTCCACGAAGCCATGGTAGATATACGTAATTTATACGTACCTTATACAAGATAAATCGAAGAAACGACGAAGCAATCACGCGAGTGTCGATGATGAAATCGGTCAACACATTTCGTAATACGATGCTTTCTTTTTCCGAAACGCAATGCGGCACAGTTTCGAAAAAATCATTCTTTTTCATCCGTTTTCTCGACGTGTCTCGTTACGTTTGTAAATATCGTAACGACGAAAACACAAAGTTGACCTACATTCGTTGAGTCTCGTGTATTTCCGTTCGCAGAAAATATCGTAGCGGCATTGAACGCAGGTGCGGCGATGTTACATAAGACCGCCCCTATCGCCCCTCTCGCGTCGACCAGTGGCGAATATTGACGAATATGGACGAGCATCCACGAATCGTTTCTCATTGTCGGAGAAACGATGTGCGAGTAATCACGCGGTAGAAGAACGATTACAGTGCAATGGGAACGAGTTCGAATCAGAGTTCGATTTCAATTGAAATCTCTGCGTCTCGTTGCACCATCCAGCGATGTATCGTTCGATGCCTTGCCTAGCAACAGGCGTCAGGGGTTATCAACCCTTCTTCGTCTCGTGATTTTTCTATTTACTTTTCAGTCTTTTGAACTGTATGTGCGAATACTTCTTTTGAAACATTCGCTTGACACGTTCCGTCATCGATCTGTTCCCGCTTCCGCGTAAGTCTATGGCTTTAAGTACCGGTGAGCTGTGTCGCGCACTTAAACGATTGTCTAGCTGTATAAAAATATATCTTTTTCTTTCTTAGAAGTTATATTATATATAATCAGTATATAATCATTGAATAAATTTATTATGAGTGGAATTTAATTATCTTTTTATTAACTTAAAATATTTAAACATTAAATTGTTTAATTAAACATTTTTAAGTGCTTCAATTCTATATTATATAGAGTGAATGAAATAAAGTGAACTTGATTATTTGAAATTTTGCTTTATTTCGAATTATTTATTATTAATTTTTAATAGTATAAAAAATGTTTTAAATAAAAATGATTTTAAAAAATATATATTTTGATATTATTAGATTTTTTGTATGTAATCAAATAAAGTACAAATGAATTTTTCAATCAAATTCTTTTTTTTATATATATGTAATTACATATTTTTTAATATATTAATCATTAGTTCAAGTAAAAAATATTTTAACTTGAATTTTAAAAAAATTTCCTATATGAAAGACAAAGAAAAAAATATGAACCGACAAATATCTCAATAAATTAAAATATTTTTAAATTAATAGTTTTTCGATATAAATAATTTAGAACTTTTTGTAAGAAATAAAAAGCTATATTAAAAATTTTATTAAAAATTCTATTAAAAAAAATAAATTTAATTTTCATAAATTTTTTATGTGCCAATTTATGAAAAAATTTATAATACTATGCTCTTTTGAAAATTATTCAATTTTTATCTAAGATATTTTTTAATATTATCAAAAACAAGCAAGATATGATCAAATTATTCTGCCTACATAACACTTTATATATAAAATTTGATAAACATGTATGTCGCTAAAAATAAGTTCCATAATACTTAAAAAATTTTAAGATCGAAGATCATACTATTATACATGAATGAATGCATGAGTAATGTTAATTATAATATGTAAAAAAAAAATTGTATATAATATATATATAAAGAAACATGCGTGATCTTAAAAAAAATATTAAGATATGATATTAAAAAAAATTTTCTTTCGTCTGATTCATTTTTTAATATCAAGCCATATAATATAAATATTTTTCCTCAAACAAGATATTTAACTGAATTTTCAGTAAAATATTTTATATATTATTTTTACATACAATTATTTTTATGCATGAAATAATATAATATAGCGCAAGATAATAAAATACAAAATTTAAACAATTTTTCAATCGATTAATTTTATAAAACAGGAATATAGAAATTTTTATATATACATATTATGAATATTAATGAAATTATTATAAAACGAGATAGAATAAATTACGACATATACATACATTTCCATACATATTTTATATAGAACGAAGTGTTAATAGTCAATGTTACTTCGTAGGCGGTCTATAGTACTTATATAACATAACTTATAAAAAAAAGTATCAGAAACTAATTGATTTTTAGAATTCGAGTAAACTGGAACTATAATGACGAAATTTTAATAATAATAATAAATCTTACCAAAACTATAAGATTTATTCTTCAAAAATAACAATAAGTATATAAGTATAACTAATAAAAATAAATAAAAATGTTTTATTATAAAATTAGAATTAATCCTTCGCAAAATTCACGAAGCATAAAATGATTCCATGTTACTATCATAAAAATTTATTATAAGAGAAAATCTTGTTATAAATCGTTAAATGAAAATTTTAAAGTATAGAAAAAATCTGAGTAAAAAATTATAATATTCTATTTAAACAATTTTTATTGCAAATAAAAAAAATAAAACATGTAAAATATTCGAATAAAAATAAAATAAAATAATATAAAACTTTAAACAAAAATTCTCGAATTGAAATTTAATGAAAAAATATTGAATGGTTAAAATGATCCAAATTTTGATTTTTTTTTCGCGGTCAGACATCTGTTTCATTATAACCGTGCAACGGTAACGTTCCGCTCCGATAAATCGAAACTCCGTGACCAAGAGAGTCTACGTTCGAGTGAACGTTGCGAATGAAAGCGTGTGGAAAAAGTGGGATCACGTCTTCCATTTAACTTTCAACTTTTCTTCCTGTTCTCGAACAAATCTTTTCACGATGCAATGTGTTACATTCACAGGAATCAGTGCGGTCACGCGTGGCCATGGATTTTACCGGAAGCGTGGGAAGGATCGTGGAAGATCCAAAAGAGGCGAAGAATATCGCCGAGAACGAAGGGATAAATTGGCGGCGAACGTGGAGGCCATTCTCGAGGCCGCCTCAGGGTTGCGCTATGGTACGATTGCACGGATTGGACGATGGATTTCATGTTTTGCAACCATGGTTTCACAGAGGATTGAAAAGAGATATCGCCGCAGCGATAGTTCGAGACCACGGTTCTGTTGACGGGTAAGCTGTTGACAACGACTTCAATTGAAAAATTTAATTAAAATTTCAAATAATATTATTTTAAGTAATAATTTTAAAATGCTCGAATAATATTAGTTTTCGTGTAATTTTGATTGTTTGGTGTTACGATTAATTGAGGTTATTTTCGATAAATTGAATAATAAATTGTTAATTTTAATGTTGAAATTTTCTATCATATGGTCGTTGTCGTCGTCGTTGTAGATTCGTAGCTGTTGGTCTTAAAATACACTTACTATATCTTCTTGTTCTTTCAGCGTATTCCTGGTACGGGAAAGCAAGAGCAATTTGGGTGCATATGTGCTCACGTATAAGTACAGTGAGAAAGTATTCCACGCACAGATTCAGCCTGTAAGTATCTTAGTTCTTAACCTTCTGTTTGCAATGGATTGCCATGATTTAATACTAAAATTATTAAATTTATTAAAATAATTTTATGTATTTTATATTCTTGTAATTATGTATTAAAAGTATGTAGACTTTATCCAGAATTAATGATGAATATAATATTGAGATAAATGTTTAAATATAGTAAATAATACACATATATGTAATAATAAATATTTAAAATATGTGATATAATATTTAAAATTGTAATCATTTATGTATTTTCTGGATATTAATATATTTGGGATAATTTTGGAAACTTGATTCTCTAGAGGCCAAAATAAATACAAAGTTGATATACAAAAATAAGTTAAGATTAGATGAAGTAAGACACAGATAAAGTGAGATTATTCTGTTATATATATATATATATA